TAACGAGCTATTTCCTTTTATATAACCTTTCATCATGCTACTAATCAATCCTCAGACATGCGGTAGCGTATTTCGAATAAAGGTAAATTTTAAAAATAAAAATATTGAAAGCTTTTCGAAAAAAATGCTTAAGCAAGGAATTACTGTCGAAACACAATATATTAGATAGTCAAGTATAAGTCGCGTATAAAATAATATATTAAAGTTTTCATACTTGTCTTAGTAAATTATAAAATCTATCTAATAATGAAAGATATGAGGGTTTCTTATTAACTATGATTACACAATTAAATTTTGATACACATACTAAGTTAAAGAGGTTTGTTTAAAATAACCTTAAATATCATAAGTTCTGTTAATTGCATAAATATTTATGGAATAATTTCTATCTAAGATGATGAATGAACTTGTGATTTTATATTGTTTAGAAAGTCAAAGTAGGACTTGATTTTTCTCACAATTCTTTTCATAAATTATACTGAAACTTCAACGGATTTTTTCTTTAAATTCTTATAATTTAACAATGTAATGTCTCCAAACCATTTAAAAACAATTGTATAAAATTTTTTTAAAAATTACATATTTTAGTTATTTAACTCTAAATTATATTCGGGAAATTTAAAAAAAATATATTTTGTAATTTTGAGATGCATATTTTATTTAAAAAAAATTTATAATGTAGCATGTTTTTTTTTTAACCAGAATTTTTTTACCACTTTTTTAGCGATAGGGACATTTTTGTATAATTATAAAGCATTTGTATTAACGAATAATAAATGATTTTATATAAAAAAAAGCATTAACATTTTAAAATGCTAGTATTTCCTCAAGTTAAGTTCTTTCTCTAAGAAAATTCAATTTTTTATAAAGCCTATCAGAAGACGTGTAAGCATTATCTTAAGGAAAAATCTTAATGACCATTCCTTAATATTAATTTCTTAATATAATTTTCTTAATATAATTGTCTTAATATTAATTTCTTCATATTAGCATGAACCCTTAATATTAATTTCGATTTTTGCATATTTTGCCGTCGCAAAGAGGTCTTATTTTTAAATACGACCTCCAATTTTCGTTAATATTATTAAACTGAACAATACATTTCTTAAAAATTTAGATATTGTCACTTACAATTACGTAGTTTAAAATGGTGTAAAAATTCATTTTTTACAGTTTAAGCATTTTCAACCATTGATAAATTTAAGAACAAAAAGTAACAAATAGTAATAAGATATTTTTTTTAAACTTAGCTTCTTACAGGGTTAATAAAATGTTGTCCACTTTCCTGATTTTATTATGACCACAATTTCAATATTGTGGCTACACCTCATATTTTGATGGTTAAGGATGCAATGTTCAGTAATGCAGAAAAATCTTTAAAGGGTAATGTTTAGGCTGCAAAAAGCATTTTTTGTTTCTGATTTTTATAATTTTAAATACAATACAAACATTTAGATAGCATATTTAAGGTTAGATCCTCTGACAGTTAAAATTTGATCATACCTCGTTAAAATTTGATCAATCAAACTTGTTAAGAAATTTTTTATTTATTTTTCACTCTATACACAAGTATGAAAAATTTCAAAATAATATACTTTATTCAAAATATAGTATTTTTAGAAGATTCAGAAAATTGAAATATAAATTACGTGTTAAAAAAGTACGTTTTTAAAAGTTGTGAAAATGTGTTCTAGACTTCCTTAATTTCAAAATAGAGTAAATGTCAGTTATTTGTCTTTCAATTCAAGATTGTTTCACCACAGTCTAAAATTAATTTTAAATATGATAATTTTTGTTTTCTACAGGAGTAAAGAGAGTTAAAAATTAAAACCCAGAATAAATATTTAATCTAATGATCAAATTTTTTGAGTAGTACGATTCAATTTTAATGGTTCGAGGATATAGATATGCTTTCGAATAAGCAATTCTTAGATATGTTTTCTAATTAGTGCAGACGATATATGAAGTTACAAAATATGACACAAAAATGGGCTTTCTATGAATATGCATACCTTTTTTCAATGGGTATGGATTATTAACCCTTAAAATATTGGGGTAGGCCTAATTTGGAAATGGTGGGAGAGAAGCAGTCAAAAAATTGAACTTTTTAACGCTTAATTCAGATTTTGTGCATAACGTTAATTTTCAAGGAACTTAAAGTGAATAAAAAAATTTACTCATATCAATGAAATTCTTTTTTTAAAGATAGCTAGTTCAATATCCATGGAAGATAAAATATATCTATATCATATAATATTAAAAGATTTCGTAACTATTCATTATTTTTCTTTATTATTTTAATTAAAAATAATCGAAAACTATTTTAACTATATCGTATAAAATTTTTTATATAAATTTAAAATATGCATTATAAGGTGGAAAAAGTACAAAATTTGATCGAAATTGTTCGAATAGCTTCGATTACAAATTATAGATAATTGTAAATTCATCCCTGCAATGCATTTCTGTATACCAAGTGTATTAATATGCCATGTTTAGAATTAACGGGGATTTATGCCTTCTAATAAACGGTATATAATTCAGCTGTCTCATATGCTTTTCGATGCATCAAAATTAAAGGTATTCTGAATTATTACTGTTTTTCAAAATGGAAAATATCTTTAATTGTTTTATTTTTCAAATTTACTGCCAGATTTCATTATAAAACTATAAACCCATGATAGTATGTTTTAATTACTCACGAAAATTGTCATGTAGCAAACAATTAAAAGATAATACGAAATACTAACTAAGGTAAACAACGTTTAAGAGCACAAAAAGTATTTATAAGTGCGGACAGCTGTTTTGGATGCTCAAAGGACAACCTTCATCAATGCAAGGTCGCCCACTTGTGTATTTAATACGAAATACTGTTTGTTGTAAAATCATATTCTTTTTACCACTGCATATTATTTAATACTTAAGTGCATTGTTTATTTATATAAAGAAACTTAGTATAACTATACAACAAAACAACCCTTTCAAAGCTAAAAAAAATATTAAAAACTTACTTAAATATGATTATATTATTATACATTTAATTGCTGATGGAGAGGAGTGAAGCACACCAAGAAAATTAGGCATATAGTAAGCATTTGTATTAATATTTATTATTTTACTATCCATGTATATACGAGAAATCTTTTTCCTCTATTTAAAATAACGGAAAGTTATCTGTTATCAAGAAATATATCATTTGAAAAGAGAAAGAGTCACTACATGTCTATTGACTGTGTTAAAGGACTCCTTTGTTTCAAGCCACATCGTAAAATTGTAATAATAAAAATTTAAATACAGATAAGTATTTATAAAATTTTATTTAAAATTATACGATGTTAAAAATAAACATATGACGTTTTAAAAAATATGTATCGAATTATTTATTTATAAATGAGAAAAAAACATTTATGAGAATAAATTTTTTAGTTTATGATTTTGATCGATCCTCTTCACAATAACGGCTCAAGAACAATCAATAATATTTTTTATTTTCTTCTCCAATATAATGCAAAACATGCAAAAACTTTTCCATACATTATCCTAACTATGCGATTTTCCCAGAAATACCCAATGCAGATTTACTTTTTTATATTTGTATGAAAAACCATTTTGATACATAACAAAAGATTTAAACTTTGCAATCTTCTTGCCAGTAGAAAATTCTTACGTTTTAATATTATTTTCGATAAGAAAAAAAATTGAACTGGTTATGATATATGCTAGAATAGTTGTAAGTTTTGTGAACAGAAATCATGCCAGTTTTACAGTTTTTACTATTATTTTTGGTCATATTATATAAAACCTTTTGAAGCTTTAAATTAAAATTTTTCTCAGAAAAATCTAAATATTTATAGAATAGAAATATTATGCAGTGCTTCATTTTTTTTGATTCATTGTTTTTATTATTGTTTATAACTGCTTTGTATTTTATTGTCTGGTTGAATATATATGGAAGAAAACTCTTAAATCTATAAAAAATATCCATTTAACAAAAAATATACACTTTTCAAAAAATGGAATGTTGACTCTTTACGTAGATTAAAAGTGAAGAAATAGAAGAAATTTAACTAACATTTATAATTGCACTATTTTATTGCTCAAAGCAAAATTTTATTTACTTGATGGAATTATTAATTTCGAAATGTCTGCCTCTGCACTGTCTCAGTTATGTTACTTTCACACTGTTAGATTCAAATGTCATAGAGATTTCAGATCACACTCTGAACGCGATACTTGTCTCCCCCATAATGTGTAACTCGACATATGTGAGATGACGATTATCAAACCAAAGTTACTTTGGAAATTTCGGAGCGGAATTTTAATGATGTTTAAATCTGTGACAATATGAATCTTATTTAAATTAAATTGTTCACAAATAAATTTATACAAAAGTTTAAATGACAACTAGTTTTTTGAATAAATTTCAGACAGAATTTGTATTTTTTTAGATATTTTCTAGGAGGAAAGGCAAGAGTTTCACGTAAACGAATGACAGGTTACGATTTTCTTAAACTGAAAATTTAAGCTTTTAATTTTTTGTTCTTTTATTTATTTTTTCTTGTTACATTATTTATTTTTTCCTGTTATATTATTTATTTTTTTTTAGTTTCCATTTCTTATAAATGATAAAATTATTAAATTACCATTAAATTTAAATTTTAATTTTAGCATTTAACTCCTTTTACAAGAAATTACTTTAAAAAAATTGTGTATTTTTAGAAAAAACGATCAAATGTTAAGTTTTTAAATTATGATTAAAAAGAAGAAAGTTTGCAAGTGAAATCAAAACATAGACTATCACAGAGCCGATGATAATTACGATAAATTTGAAACAATTTCAGAGGGAATCAAATATTTAAAGAGATCGCTGAAAGTAAACAAGTTTGTGACAGGTATTTGACTTTGGCGGCATTCCCGCCATCGCCAAAGTCGTGAAGGAATTATACTTGGCGAAAACATTCACTTCATCCGATTGGCAGTCTTGAACAAGGATCACTAAGATCCATAACCACCGCGTGGAATGTTTTGATACGATGTGTTGAGCTAAGGTGATTTTCATCCCTTGTTACACTCAAAAACCACGTGTTTTTTGATGCCGCTCTAATCGAAAACAACTGAATTGTTTAGTGCTTCGTCTAACTCAAACGCAACATATTCTTTATTTGTGGATATTAATTAAATATTATTAAATGGTGTCACATTCTTTCATGAAATGTTATGGAAATACATGAATAAAATTAATTTTATCTATCCACGTGTGCTGAACATAGTATTCTGTGTTTCATGCCTCTTAAATGCATTTGAAAGAAAACATTAATGGATATAATAATTATTATGATAGTTTAACTATATTAAGACTATTAAGAATAAACAGTATACTCTAATTTGCTTTTTATAAAAATGACAAATACGAACGTGGATGTACTAGTGTGCTTTTATTTAAACATTATTAATATTTCGAACACTGCAAAACGTGAAAACAACATGAACTTAATTTAATTTTTTAATTAAAGTGAATCTGTGAATATGTGTTTTATTAATTTATAAGACCATAACAATATATTGTACAAATGGGCTTTTCATTGTTAGAAATATTCTCCATAGTTTTTTTCTATTCATTAGGTAAGTACTGACTTTTCATTTATCAATATGAAATGAAGATATAATGTCGTAAAATGTGAAAAGGAAATAGTTTGATATAATAGAAATACACAGATTATTCATCTATATACACCTTTTAAAATCGTCCTGCAAATCGAAAAGATATTTTTCTTCCAAAAATACGAAGAAAAAACATTTTTCTATAATAACACAGTGTGTTTCAAGAAGTAATTGATCAGAAATTATTTTTATACTCAAATGAATATTTATAAAAATCTTGTAGCTACATAAGCTTGCTAAAGAAGAAAACATATTCACTATTTCTTAAAAAAAAATCATAATTTATAAGTAATATCAATTCATCATGATTTAAGAATGTTATCATTCTGTCCAAACATCTATAATGTGCTAAAATTCCGTAATAGTCAAAGGTGACAAAATTAATGGCTATTTGTTCTTATAATACTAGTCTTTAATAATGTTTATATAAAATTAGGATTTAATATTTTAGGCAAAATTGTCTAAATTAATATAAGCCTGTTAAATAGAACAAAAGGCTATATCTAACATTATCTTAACGCTAAATTAGGTTATTTTGTATATTAGATAAAATTCGCAGAATTATTAATATATATTTCAGTCTAATATATATATATATATATATATATATATATCAGTATCAAAATCTCCCAATTCATTACTTAATGTCCGCGTAAGACTATGTACCTTGCTAATTAATTGCCCACAATCAAATGCTCTTCATTTTGTTTTGATTTACAAGGAATATAGATNATATATAGTAAATTAACCATACTTATGGTAAATAAGAAGTTAAAGAACAACAGTCTTAAACAAATTATGCTTGTAATTTAAACAATTATTAATATTTGCATAAAATAATATAATATTTGCGCGTAAAAAATTCTTTTCCTTTGTAAATTTTCTATCAATATATTTTTGCAACAAATATTTGAACAAGACCTTTCAGGAGATTATGTTTGCAATTATGCTTCTTTTTTCTGTTTAAAAAATAAAAACCTATTTGCATTTTTAAACTTATTTATTGCTTAAAGCTTTTTGAATATTTGCATTATGTGAGCATGGAAATTATCAAAACAATTTAGTGACCAACTATTGTACCTGATATTAAAAGTATTGTTTGAGGAAAGGCTATAATTAATGTTATCTGTACGAATGTTTTTCTTTGGGAGGAGCAGGGGAAAAAGATAGCATAAAATATATAATGGCACGTCACCACAAATGACGGCTATAGCCGTCCTTAGGATATTACTGCCTGAAACAAAATTCTTTTTTGTGGATCGGTTAGTTACCATTTCATTTTAAAAATTAATTCCTATTCTTCAATAACAGATTCGTAGGAGAGATTGTATCTAAGAAATTAGTTAGTACAAAAATCCTCTAAAATCGTCAAATTTGGAATAAAGATCTCAGAAATTTTCGTGATCGGTAAACATCCTGTTCCTACACATTTCAACTAATAAAAAATAAAAATGATTTGCATAAAGTAAACTAAATCATTTATGTTTTTAATTATTTGGTAATACATTGATTAAGAGATTATTAAGAGCTGTATAACAGTACACAAAACATATAAATTCTTTTTTCTGCTTGTTCGCAGATAAAAAATGTCGTGATGAAAAAATGATGGTTATAGCCGTCGAGAGATTTCATGGAAAAACTCTGACAAAATGCGATAATTAATGCTTCAAATTATACAAGTGACCCTCAATTTCATACGGGGCAAACTTAAAAAATTAAGCAAATGCGTTTCTGAGCACGATCAAATTAAAAGTGTGAGGCAAAGTGTTAATTAAGTGAATATGTAGTTGTGAGAAAAAAAGATGCAAAAGAGTTACTAAACGTTTTTCCGCGACATTTATTTTTCACCATATGATTAGGATAAAACCACTTATATAATTTTCGCACTTAAGAAAAATTATTTCAACTTCTTGTTTGTATTCTTATTGAAAATATTTTAAGCAATTTAGCTCAAATTTTCGATTTATACTTACACAATTATAATTGTTTAGAGAATGCAAAATTTATCTTAATGTCCTTCTCAAGTTTCAATTAGCAGAAAAAAATTATTGTTTGCATGTAAAAAACTATTTCTAAACCATTAACATACTTTTACTAATAAGATAAGTTTATCAATGTAAAAATATCAATAAAAGTACAAAGATTTATGACTTAGCTCGTTGTGTTGAAAGGAGAAAAGAAAAATTATCATCAGGTCAAAAATTTAAATATTTCAAACGAAATAAAAGGTGCAAAATTTTCTATGCATTTTTCTCGCTGAGTTGAATGAAGCCAAATTCCATACGATAATTATTATAGTTCGAAAGCCTTAATATTTTATGTACGGAAGGTGTGATATTTGCCTTCACAAATTTACACACATAGCGTAAATATCTAGAAAGTGAGGTTGCTTTTGTGCCTGTTTTTCCGTGCAAAATTAGACGATACCAAACCAAGCTAAAAAAAAGTTTTATTTAATTTTAAATAATTCAATAATTTGTAATATAATACAATACAATATAATAAGATAAATTATAAATGTAATATTATAAATAATTCCATTTATAAAATAAAAAGTGTTGTCACTCATCAGCAGCCAAGGAATACCACATTTTTTTTAAAATAATAGCTGGAATTCGTAATAACAACATGGCGAACAACAAAAACTGTAGGCCATGCTACTATTATTTGGACCCTGATATGACAACTGTAACATGAGAACAAAAAAATCGGAAGAACATTTTAAGTATCACCTGAATAAATTTTAATGATCTTATAATTATAAAAAACCGACTGTTTTTTCCAGGTTGTTATACACCAGTACAACAGCATCAACAGCCATCTTTCCAATTTGTTGGATTGAAGATGGTGAATCATGAATGATTAAAAGTGTCGGTTACAGTTTAAGTTTTAATGACACTGTAAACATCAAAAGAGTAAATGCAAACCTAAAATTTAAATTGAGCCACAAGTGATTAGTAAAATAACTGGAAAATGATTAGAAATAAGTTTACTTTTAAAAATTTAAACTTCTAACTAAAAGTAGGTTTTATTGTTAACAAATAAATTTAAATCTAATAAATTAAAAATTATCTAATAAATTATATTGTTTAAATCTAATAACTTATATAATCAGTGCAAAAGACATTCTTTTATTTAAAAATTATTAAATTACTAATATGAATAAATCAATTGTAAAATTAATTATATCTTCACTTTCTTTATTCTCCTTTACCTAATTTGGTATTTAAATCTTAAAGTAGCAATTTTCCAAGTTTTTTTTTTCAAAATGTATTCGCTCTTCTTAAAATATTAAAAAGAAATATAATTAACTTAGAGTTAAGAATTTGAAATTAATTCATTAATAAAGTTTTATCATCCTATTAGCAAGTAAAAATAAGTATTATTGCTAATGGAATCCAAGAAATAAACTGTTTAAATAAATGAAAGGGTTTTAGGCATTTTTTTACGCATCGCTTCATTTCATTGTCATTAGAATGCATTTTCTTGTATTAAAAAATGAGAACAATGCAATTAATTCATTTGTATTACAAGTTATTACTCAGAATCTGATTTCAGAAATATGTTTTCCTCATTTTTTTATGCATTAGGATTTGTTTTCTTTTGCGAAGGGAATTAAAATTAATTTTCGATTTAATCTATACATTTTCTTATAAAATATTAGTTTAGTTTTTTCTATATACTAAATGAGTTAAATTCAATTCAATTTAGATCGGGTTCAATTTAGATCAAGGCATTTAAAATAGCGACATTTTCTTTTATTATGATAAAACTTTCATGTGTGTGGAAAGGTGTCAGGCACAAGAACCTTCTTACTCTAAATAAACATACATTTTTTCGATGAATTGAGTAATCAATCCTTAATCCAAAAATACATTAAAATTACATTCTAAATCACCAAAGTATTGGGAGTTGCTATACCAAAAATATTGTCTGATTAGTAGTTTATTCTAGAGAGTCTCCTTTAGTTTTCATTTCAACTATATGTTTAGTCACATCTAGCAAAATGGAATCGAAAAATTATTTCACCCAATTACAAAATCTATTTGTTCATAGATGTAGCATACATTTTATACTCTGAGAAACAATTATGGTCCAAACTACTAGAAAATTATGGCTTAATTTACTAATAAAAAATTAATTTAAATATTACTAATATAAAATTAATTTAATAATAACTAATGAGTAAAAAAAGCCTTGTAAAAAATTTCTGAAAGCACCGGATAAGAATCCTTATCTCCTTGGGTAAATGATTCACGCGTTTTGATGTTGGCAATATTTAGCAATATTCACGTTGGTTATATTACGTTGGTTTAGCAATATTAAAGCAAATAGTTGCCCATTGGCAGCATTAGAACAACAAAAAGTTCAGTAGTTCTTACCGAAATATTTTGGTAACGGCTTTTGTAAAATTAACAATGAAATATGGTTTTATAATATTGAATAAAATTTAGTAAAGGTGGTAATATTTGCTAATTTCATACTCATACTTTAGTGCATGACAAAGATCATTTATTCGGTTAAATTTTCTTTTCAGTTTCGTACGTTTACTAATTGTGTAGTAATAAATACTATAATGTATAAAAACAAACGCACTTCACAAAATCGCAGCCATAGAAGACTTAAAGGTTTAAATATCTTGAATCAAACATTTTAAAACATATTTCTTGCTCCTTTTCTCTCTGTTACATTTGAAAAATATTATAAGCTTTTAAATCAGAATTTCAGGTAAACCGCAACTATATAAAGAAAAAAAAATCAAATGATTAGTTTAAATAGCGTATATTTTGATTTTATTAAACAGAATTATTGTTTCTTTAGTAGAAATATCATTACCATACAGTACGGTAATTTTACCACAACTTTTATTTTCTCTGTGCATATACCGATTGAAAAGCTTTCATGAATGGACTCATTTTAAGTCAACTCTTTATTTTAAGTGGTTTCAAAATATGTATCGT